AAAAAAAAAAAAAAAAGTAGCCAAATAAAATATTTGCTTCTGCCTTTAACTGTGTTACTAGCCAGGACAAAAATTAAAATTATAAAGTTTATAATTTTACATCTCTAGAAGGAAAGACTATTAAATTAAAATCTATCACAATCCAAATCAAACAAAAACAAAATTTCTTGACTTTGAAATTTTATAAAAACAAGTCCAAAGTTCATTTAGGAAAATTATTGTGTGTGAATACACAACACGATTTATCTTTGAAGTGGACAACCTGCCCTACCAGGTAGCTATCCAAATACTTAATATGCCTACAGCAAATGAAATACAGCTGTAGTAACACATATACAAAGTTAGTCAAAGAAACAGAAAAGGACCCAGGCAGATGCAAAGATGCGTCAGAATGGTAATTTAACATATGATAAAAATAACACATCCACAATACTCCTTAGGATTAACAACAAATTTTGTTAATTGGAACAATGTCTGTTAAACATTCAGTGGAAATAAGAGCTTTAACAGATTTTACTGTATAATCCCCTCTGTTTTTTGAATGTGTGACTTTGTGTACATATACATTTGGGTGCATGCCAAGGGAGCTCACTGAGTACTCCACTCCTCTTAAAGATTTTGATCCAATTATCTTAAAGTTTCAATTCTATAAAAATTCTATGGAAATCCAATGGTCTCATGATGCCTGATCCTGGGTTTTTCCTCTTCATGATCTCCTCTTCCTCCTTCTGAATATACAGTAGTTTCTGGTTTTAGACAAATTTACTGACGATGGGGAAAAGAGAAGTTCACAGGGGAAGTAATGTCACATAGTTCACAATTCTGTATGCTCTGACAGCTACCTCTAGTTCCTCACTTTTTCATCTTTCCTACTTTTCATCTTTTTCACATTTCACTGATCTCCAGCATAGAGATTCAGCAAGCAGCCAGGCCTGGTGGCACACACCTGAATTTCCAGCTACTTGGAAGCCCAAGTTCAAGGCTAACATGGGCAACTTTAATGAAAGCCTGTTTCCAAATAAGATAAAATTAGAAAGGGCTGGGATATAGCTCAGGGGTAGGGCACTTGCCTACTATATATATATGCTAACATACATATTTTTTCACCTCTGGCAAAAATTTGTGTTCCTGTTAATACTATTTTTCCCCTTTTTAACAAAAGGTGAGTTGGTTGAAATGTCTGGAATATTCACTCTGGCCATTATGGGACTTTTTTTAAATTCTACGAGTTTTAAACCAGGAGTCGAAGCGCTTCTTCTCGAGTGAGTGTCTAGCATATTTTCATTTTGTTTCATTAGAAGCTATTAGATTAAAATAGTAATTACATTTACATAGTCTAAGTAAGACATTGACAATGGAAACTATTCCACTGAAAACCTGTGTCTTCAAATGTTTTAATTTTAGGCAAAAGTTGTAACCCCACTTTTGAGTTTGTGTTGGTTCTATTTCCCTATTAAGTCCTGAAATCTCTGACCATCTACTCAATACTTTCCAATCTAAATCCTGAACCCACTTAGACCAGGCCAGGATTAAACAAGTTGAGAGACTCATCTCAGGCATAAAATTTCAAAGGAAAAAATATAATAATTGAGATAAATATTTCAATGCAGTATTTTTTAAAGAATTGAAATTTATGTAAAAACATTTGAAGACTATTGTTTTAGAAACAATGAAGAGATGCCATATAAGGTAAATTAAAAGATTAAGGCAGGTGATTTAAAGAGGAATGATAGTCTCAGGAAAGAAGGTGTGGACACACTAAATGTGAGCCAGATTATGGGTAAAAAAGTTCATGTCTTGCTCCTATGCACCCAGCCATGGGATAAGTAGGATCTGTTGTCTGAGATGCTTTAATACACAGGTTTGGTAATCCAACCTAAACACACAATGGATACGTATGTGTAAACAGAGGCCCTGAAAGTAAACGATGATTTTTTGAGTTTGAGAAATATTACAGATGATATAATAAATTCAGAAGCCAGAAGCTCAAGGAATAAGCTCTTCATCAAGGAGAACGGCAATAAAATCATGTCAACTGCAATAAAAGTCAGTTGTACCTGTAGTGAGGGAGAATTAACTGGACCACGGTTGTGAGAGGAATTTAAAAATATATGAAAGTATTTATATCTATAGGAAGTGATTCAGAAAGCTCCCTTTACCTTCTTGCTATAACTGAAGGCTGAATCCCCCCTGAATCATCATCATCATCATCATCATCCTCATCATCATCTTTCCCTTATAAGTTGTTATGTGTTTCTCACCTGCACACTGGTATTATTGAGTCTGCAGTTGAGGTAGGTAATCTCTCTGCACCTCAAAGTCATTTCTAGATCATTCTTTCTCTTACTCCAGAAGAGCCCAGTTTTAAAATCCATGCTTTCAGCTTATACCATCTGCTACAATCTAGACTGTGGTTATCTCTAGAATCCTAAATTACACTCTCCATTTTGCAGCAATTTTGGCTCCTGTCTCTCTTGAACTTTTCGTCTCCAACATTTCCCCATCATTACTCTTAGTGATGTCAATATCCATTCAGTTGATACTTACACTCTGGCTTTTAGTTCCTGAACCTTCTCTCCTTTAATGAGTTTGTCTCCCACTCTACTTCAGTCACCTTCTTCCGTGGATATATAAATAAACCACTATACAATCCCAATTTCGAGACCCTTGCTATTCCTCAAACGTGCCTAGCATGCTCCCCTGTTTAGACTCAGTTCTATCACTATACATCAGACTGGTGTTTTAGTATTCTATTTAAATGTTTCCACTCTTCCCAGATTATACAATCTTTTATTCCTGTTAAATTGATTTCCCCAGAATGCCCAGTCCATTATCATCCCTCCAGACTATTGGCTATTCAACACTGGACAATAAAAAATAATAGATGTTTAGATGTACCAAAATCAATTTGAGAGTACAATCATAGGACTCATAATTTTTACACTCTCCCCATAAGCCAGGCACAGTGGTGTAGGCTTGCAATTCTAATAACTCAGAAGGCTGAGGCAGCAGGATTGCAAGTTCAAAGCCAGCATCAGCAACTTTGCAAGGCCCTAGGCAGTGTAATGAGACCCTTAAAAATTAAAAAAATAATAAAAATAGTTATTGATGTGGCTTAGTGGTTAAGCATCCCTGGGTTCACTCATGGTAAAAAAAAAAAAAAAAAAGGAAAGAAAGAAAGAAAGAAAAAGAAAATCAAAAGTTCAACTTGTTTCTAGGACCCAGGCTAAGGAGGGCTTCCTTCTTGAACTTCCCAGGTTGCCCAGCTCCACTGGTGTGACCGCTCTGCTTATTACATGATCACTAAGTACTATATCATATTATCATGACGTCTTATCAGGGTTTATTTAATTTTTTTTCTTGTAAGTTTGTATTCTTCACGTGCCCTACAGTTTACTTCATTATATATTTGGAATTTGCTGAGAGGACTGATAGTGTTTTTATGTCAGGCACACACAGTATTTGAGGTGATGGATATGTTAACTAGCTTTTCCGTGGTGATGATTTCTTTGATGTTTTGAGGTTTGTATTCATGTAAATATCAAATAATAGAACTTAAAAATACACAACTTGTATTTTTCAATTATCCCCCATAAGATTAGCAGGAAAAAAAGATTCACATCTCTGAACACCAGCTAGATTTTACAGGATGACTCAGTTCTATCTCTATATACATCAGACTCTGGTGTTTTAGTATTCTATTTAAATGTAAATGAGTTTAGCTTTCCTAAAAGAAATGAAAGATTTTACAATCAGTATTTTCAAGTTGCATCAGTGATGATGTCTCCATGTTTGAGTTTCATCACACAGCATGACTACAATCTGAATATTTCTTTCAGATACAATGAAATAAGAAATACACTAATTTACACACACACATTGGTTAGAATTGCTTCAGAATCTTTTGAAAATTTACTTACCTTTGTGCCCTTTCTTTGTAGTTCAATTTTAAGCCTTATTGTGTGTTGACACATGTCATATTCATCTTTATTTGATAATGAATGGCATAATAACTCATATTGGTAAACTTTGTAAAACATTTGTTAGCTTAATTATAATTAACTATATCTTAATTTTTTTCTGAAAATGCAGATTCTGGAATTGTATATCTTTTGTTGCTTTTCTTATGGTGTTTACTTTTCTTGGAGTTTT